GGCAATTCACTCACCTCAGCCTCCCAAAGGCACAGGATTACAGGCTGAGTCACCGAGCCCGGCTTATCTAGTATTTTTTTTTAAATAGCAGTGTTAGCTGGGCATGGTGGCTCATGCCTGTAATCCCAGCACTTCAGGAGGCTGAGGTGAGAGGTTCCCTTGATCCTAGGAGTTCCAGACCAGCATGGGCAACATAACGAGACCTGATCTATACCAAAAAAAAAAAAAAAAAAAAAAAATCAAAAAAATTTAACCAAGCATGGTGGCAGGCACCTCAGTGCATGCACCCAGATACTTGGGAAGCTGAGGTGGAAGGACACTTGAGCTCAGGAGAGACTCTGTCCCTAACACAACGACAAAAAGAGTACTTCTGGGTCGATCAACATAACTGTAAAATAGGCAGATTTTTGTACCAGCAGTAAATTTACTTAAGTTGTCAACTGTACTGTGATTATGTAAGAAAATACAAACTGAAGTCAGAGATAAAGGGCCTTGATGTACATAACTTATTCTAAGGAAAAAAAGTGAGTGCAGAAAGTATAAGAACAAGTGTAAATGGCAAAGCAAGTGAGGAAAATGTTAACAACAGGTGAATGTAGGTAAAGAGCACATGAGCAGTCTCTATACTGCTCTTATTGGGGCACTTTTTCTGTAAATTTGAAACTATTTCTAAATAATAGTTTAAGAATGTAATTTATTGTTAAATGACTATAAATAGATCAAGCCATAATCTATTCATAAATAAGTAACTGAAATTTTAAAAATTTTCCTGTAAGAATTTACTCTTCTTCATAGAGTGGAACATATTTTTAAGGGACGATGAATATTTTAAAGGACACTGAATATTTAATAAGGAAAGATATTTAAGACTTATTCTGAAGGAGAAAAAACTAGTAGATTACCAACAGATTGCATGATGAACCCATTTTTATGTTTACTCACAGAGATAAAGCCTAGAGATGTATTGAGGTAAACCCACTTTATATTTGCCCCCACATTCACCTGTCTCAACCCAGGCCTTGGCTTCCAATCAGTGGAGAGGCTCAGTCTCTAAATATCTCTGGTTGCTTCAGCCTACCCTGGGAATACACTGCAGGCAGATCTGTGAAGACCCGAAGGAGATTATAACTCCTTGACTACTTTAGGGAGGTTAGTTCCCAGAGCAACACAATCCAAAAGCTTGAGGAATTAATGCCCGATGACCAATGAAAAGACAGGTGCCAACAGACAAATCCCACTCCATTCTGACATTTCTAAGGTATGGTGGGTCCACAAAGTCTGTCTGGAAGTTATCCAACATGACCACAAACCAGCTGTGTCTCCTTTATAAACCAGCTGTGTCTTCTTTATAAAACTGTGACCTCCCCTCACTCTTGCCCTCAGACTGCACCTCCCATTAAAGGCCTAGCAGCCAAACCCGGCTACTCTGTTTTCTAGGAATCAGGACTAACAGGACTAACACAAGCGTAGGCTATTATATTAAGAATGGTTATCCTTGGGTAGAAGGATTACAATTTATTTCAATTTTCTTCCTTTTTGCTTTTATGCTTTTCTATCACGTTTCATAACAAGCATGTATTTTTCTGCTAAAAAATCAGGGGGAAAAACTTATAAAGGTACATATTTGACACATACTAAACATCAGCACATGAGATTTGGCTTCAAATCTTGATTTTTTTTTTTTTTTTTAAGGCTGAAAACCCAATGTTCATCATCTGGAGAATGGGCCCCTTGAGACTCAATTTCCACCACAACACAATATGTCCATGTAAGTAAAATGCACGTGTGCTCCCAGAAACTAAAATTAAAAACGTTAAAAAAAAAAAAAAAAGGTGAAAACCATTAGACATTAAAGCAGTGGGCTTTCACCAGATAATTTTAAGGTCAATCTCAGTACATACTACTTTTGGTCTTTTTTACATTATTATGGTACTTGTTTTTAAAACATGTTTAACTACCGTGTGTGGTGGTGGCTCACACCTGTAACCCCAGCACTTTGGGAGGCGAAAGAGAGAGGACTGCCTGAGCCCAGGGGTTTGAGACCAGCCAGGGTAACTTGGCGAGACCTTATCTCTATGACAAAAATAAAAAAAATTAGCTGGATGTGGTGGTACATGCCTGTAGTCCCAGCCACTTGGAAGGGTGAGGCGGAAGGACCTGTTGGGCCCAGCACGTCGAGGCTGTGGTGGCTGTTGAGCATGCCACTGTACTCCAGCCTGGACGACAGAGTGAGACTCCAACTCAAAAAAAATAAAATGAAATAAAAAACATGTGTAACCAATAAAGTTATCTTAGGTTCACTTGTTTTAGCTAAAACAAAGAAAAGAACACTTGGACAATTTTCCTTTGTAACAAAGACTGTTAACAATTCTAATGTTGCAGCCAAAGTAGTAAAACAGCTACCTAATAACAGCTAAAACAATGACTTGTGATGGACCTTATAGGCATATGATCATTCTAGATAATAACAGTACCATTTTACAAATCACTTATAAAACCATACAATTGAATTAAGGTATTTATCCATTTTAACAAGTAAACTCAAGAAATTATATAAATCTGATAGTTATTTTTTTACATTTCTAAAGATTTTCTGATTGATTAAAATAGAAAGTACCTGTATTCAAAATGTAAGTAAAATGGCAGTACAATCAAACTACCCTTGATTATACCATTATGGCATATCAATTCAACTAACTGACGGTTCAGTAAATAGAAGGGGGAAAAAAGTATGCTTTCTTTATTCCCAACTACAAGGCTGCAACTGATATACTGAAGGCAGAAAAAAAAACCTGCCCTCAACTTTATTATTTTATACAAAATAAAGTATGATTCCAGAAGAGTCTTCTGGTAACATCAGCATTCAGTATCACCTTATTTTCCATATCACTCTCACCTTGTGCTATGGACTGAACTGTGTTCCCTTGAAATTCATATTGAAACCCTAAAACCCAAATGTGATAGTATTTGGAGATGGGGGCCTTTGGGAGATAATTCAGGTTATATGAGGTCACGTGGGGCCATGTGAGCACAAAGCAAGTGGCAGTTGTTCATAAGCCAAGAAGACCACCCTCATCAGAACCTAACCACGCTGGCATCCTGATCATAGACTTCTAGCCTCCCAAGCTGTGAGAAAAAAACCTATTGTTTAAGCCACCAGTCTATGGTATTATGTTATGGCTGTCCTAGCAAACTAGTATACCCCTCAATGAGGACACCGTATAGCATAACTGTGTCAACAGCAGTCAATATGTTTCTTTTCTGGTATCTAAAAGCATTAGTTTCATCTATCCTTTAAAAATCTAGCAGACTGTCACAAAACACTTTTGTTAGGTGTATCAGCAAAATGGACATTATAATCTGAAGAATCAAAAATTACTAAATACTATTAATGGTACTCACCATTAGCCCTTTATCCTCACACTTACATATGCTTTCTCATTAATCTTTTCAACAGCCCTATGAGACAGGTATCATCTCTACTCTACATACTTCAGACGACTGAAGTTTCTCAGAGAGTAAATTAGAAAAAGAATATGAGCCAGAACTGGGATTTGAACCCTATTCTGTTATGCTCCAAAGTTTACACTCTTCCATCCAGGCTACACCGTCTGTCCTCAAATACTGAGAGGAAAAACAAAACAAAACCTGAGAACAATCTAACTTGTGAATAAAGATTTATCATCATTGAAATAAGGAAGCAGTGAGCATTTTAGGTCAAGTACAGAATAGCTCAAACACTAAGTTTAGTGTCATTCACTATAAACTTAAAGCTATTAAAACACACTGGCACCTGATCCCAACCTAGGCAAAGTGGGGACTAAAAGGAGGCCCAAACTTCACCTGTACGATGACCACTTATGTACCTAATCCTGAATTGTACCCCACATCTTTAAAATTTTTAAAATAAAAAATAAAATACACTTGCACTCACAAAAAAATATGTAATTTGTGACTGATTCAAATATTTTAAATTTATACAATAAGCAATTCATCAGTGTCAAAGAAAACACAAAAGTTATTTCACACAGAAAAAGATAAATTCACTTAATATTCAAAGACAATTATCCTTCAGAAGTGTAGTGAAAAGTTTTAAAAAATTATTCAAAGACATTCCTGTCTCTTAAGCCTATATACAGAAGGACAGAATTTATATAGCTATATAGATTATACATCTTATCTAGTAAACCAGGTACACTTACCAATAACATTATGTTTTGAACTGAAGGGATCTACAATTGTTTGATCTCTGTAACTTCGAAAACCTTGGATAATCACCTAATAAATACAAGATATTTTTGAGAACACACCCCAAAATCCCCATCCGTTAACATTTTTCTTTTCCATTTCTTTCCTTTGCTTCTCACTTAACACAAGATAGAAAACCTATTCCATTTAAGAAAAATTCATTTTAGAAAACAGCGATTAAAAGCCTACTAAAAACATTTCATTAGCAACCTTTGCCAGTGCAGTGTTGCTTTAAAAAAATTTTCTTTTAAAGCAATTACAGTTAGTAACCTGGGAAGGAAGGCTCAAAATCAAGAAAGAGCACTGTGTAAGGTTCACTGAACACTGAACCCTGCGGGCCTCCGGCAAGTCGACCAAGCAGGCAGCCTGGCTCTGGCATTCCCGACTCCAAGGCCAGCCACACGCTGACTCCAAGGCCAGCCACCCGCTCCAGTCAGCCAGAAGGAGCCCACGATCCCGAGGAGTGCTCAGAGGCTCACATGCCCGATAGAAAAACCTCCCCAAAACACTGTCAGTGGGTTCATCCTTACGGACTCTCGCGCGGGAAGCCCACTTGGGCAGAAGCGGGCACAACTGAACGAGGCGGCGCTGCCCATTCTGCCAGGAGGAGGGTCCCTTCCACCGCGCGGGCTCAACGCGGAGGGGAAAGCCCCCGCGGCGGCAGCTGACACTCCCGCCTGTGCCCCGAGGGGCGCCCCAGGCTCAGGGAGGTCGCCTTTCCACACTCCCCACGCAAACGGCCCCGGCGAAACCGTCCCGGCAGGACAACACAGCCCTTCCCGCCAGCGGCCGCCCCCGGCCCCGCCCCCGGCCGCTGTCCCCTCGGGTCGCCCGGTCCCTCCAAGCGGCCAGCCCCGCCGGCCCCTCCACACCTCAGGGAAATGCTGCCCCCCTGAGATGAGCGCCCCGCGGGGAGGCCCGGGCGGAGAGGCGCGCCCCAATTCTCGGGCGCCCCCACAGCCCGGCGCTCGCCGGGCTGGGTGTCCCCCCTCCCCCACAAGTCCCTGTCCAGCCCGGGTCCACCCTGCGGGCAGAGGTGAGAGGCCGCGGGTGCTACCGCGACACCCCCGCTTCAGGGAGCGGTCCTCGCCGGCCCATGAGGGGTGGGCGGGACGCGAAGGTCTTACCTGCTTTATATACATTGTTCCGCGCCCCCAGCCGAGTAGAAGACCTCCCCCCGGAGCCGCGACAGCTCAGCCGCAGGGTCAGGTGAGGTGCCTACGAGACCCCTCCCCCAAAGCGCCGCGCTCCCCTCCAGCCAAACAAAATGGCGGCGCCCGTGGAGGCGGAGCCCGCGCCGCGGACGGAACTACCTTCGCAGCCCCCATAGAGCGCAGGGGGAGTCAGGTTCTGGCCTGCTCTTTTTTTGGCAAAACCAGTCTTCTTTGGCTGTATTACGTGAGTTTTATTTTATTCTCATTATCTGTAGGTGGCCTTTTCCTGAGACTTAGTCGGAGGCTCCATACAGAGAAGTCTTGACCGTAAGGTTGGCCCCTACCATCTCCGAGCAGGGAGCTAATGGTCGCGTCCGCAAGGGGGGAAAGGTTCGGCGCCAAAGCCTAGTGTGAGACTCCGAGAGCCAGTAGCAGCGCGAGCCGGTGGCCACGTGATCCGGGGCTGTTTTAAAACATACTGCGTCTGTCCTGGAACCCGCGGAATGCTGGTTTTGACTGAAATTCCGTGAGCGGAATCCCTGCTTCTCCATGATCTGTCTCCCTAGGATCCTTTACAGTCTTAGAACGCCCCCCACTGGTTTTGAACCGCTCACTTGCAGCATTCCCTTGGCGATACTTATGGACGCTCGAACATGTGTTTTAATAATGTGATAATTAATATCCCGGGAGCTGTTATTGCTCTGCCTTGTGCTATACATCTAGGAAGGTCTGTACAATTGCAACAAAAAGAGATTTAGATGAGGTTAAACGCTTTTAACTTAATTTCTTTTAAGCAGCCTGAAAGATATTAGGTACTAGTGGCCGCTCTCGGTATCTCATCCATATTAGTATTGAGAGAAAAACATTTGTTTAGATTCTGGATCTATGGGCCGCTCCCTAAAATTACCTGCTGGGAAGAGAACAAAATAACTATCTAAATCGCCGTCCTGTTACCTGAGGCAATTCTAGTCCTAATTATTTCTAGATTGAGCTTTTAATCGCTTCTTAACTCTTGTCTATGTTAGCCAATTTATCTCCTCTAGGAGTACTTTATCTGAAGCGCAGATCAAATCCTACCCAGCCCTTGGCTTTAAAAGAAAAAAACTTTTACTTGGGGATTAGCGTCTCTACCTTCTCAATTTGTATTATTTTAGGCATATTTAGGCTGGGGGCCGGGTGCGGTGGCTCACGCCTGTAATCCTAGCACTTTGGGAGACCGAGGTGGGAGGATCACTTGAGGCCAGGAGTTCAAGACTAGCCTGGGCAACAAAGTGAGACTTCGTCTCTACAAAAAATATATTAAAAAATAAGCTGGGCGTGGTGGAACAGGCCTGTAATTCCAGCTACTCTGGAGACTGAGGCAGAAGGATTCCCTGAGCCCGGGAGGTAAAGGCTGCAGTGAGCTGTGATGCTGTAACTACTGTATATTCCAGCCTGGGCAACAGAGTGAGACTCCAATTCAAAACTAATAAATAAATAAATAAAATGAGGATGATGAAACCTTTCATATGTAGAATTTAAAACAGGATGTATAAGTTAATCCTATTTACCTAAAATTATATATACATATGTATGCACATATATATGTGCATATGTATGAAACTGTGGTCACCATAACATTTATAATTGTTTTCACAGTGATGGGATTTTTACTTTCTTCCTTAGGCTTTCCCATATTAATGAGTTTTATACCATTAACTTATAGAATTTGTATAGACAAAAAAATCTGATGTAAAAATCTAAAATATCAAAAAGTGACTTTGAAGATTTAATGCAATTGTTTTATTTATATTTTTGTGTATTTATTATCTGTCTCTAATAGAACATAAATCCAAGAGAAAAGGGACTTTGTTTTGTTCTTTTTTTTAGTAACTAGTTCACAGTTACTAAAAAATAAATGCTTATGAATAAATGCTTATGAATAAAATGCACAAAGCAAAGTACTTACCAGTGTTCAGCTCATATATGCTAGCTATTGGTATTTAAAGGCTCCCCATGTTTTCATTCCACCCACCTCCCATGCCCCTCGGGAGCATCATTCTCTTCTGGGAAGTATGTTGCAGTAGAACATATCGATATTCTTTAACAAAGATGAATAGTTCATCAAACCTATGAACTATTTGGGGCAAAAGGACATTCCCAAGTGAAACTGCCACCATAAGGCAGAATACCAGCTACACAGTGCCTACTTGTTCATAGGCAAGCAATCAAGAACTGGTGTAGCCCCTTTCTCTCTCTTTCCTCCTGCCCTCCCTCCCTCCCTTCTTTCCCACCATCCTTACTTTTTTCTTCTCCTTCCTTCCCTCCCTCCCTCCCTCCTTCCCTTCTTTCTTCTTTCTTTCACTGTTGCCTAGGCTGGAGTGCAGTGGCATGATCGTAGCTCACTGTGGCCTTGAACTCCAGAATTCAAGCAATCCTCCTGCCTCAGCCTCTAGAATAGCTGAGATTACAGACATGAGTCACCATGTCCAGCTAGCTGCAGCCTTTTTACATCAAAACGTCCCATTAACACCACATAGCATCACTTCCTTGGTGTTTTTACTTCTCTTTCCCAACCCAACTCAGATTAATTAGCATGATCCTCAGACACACTAGAGTGGGAGGCAGAAAAGAGACACTAAGCATAAGTCTTCTGCAAATGGAGTTTCCTGAATACCCAAAGCACAGACACGCAACAATGATAATCTCTTATGTTCATGTAGCTTATATTTACCAGCTTCAAAGTGCTGCCATGTGTATAATCTCCCTTACATTTTTCCCATTCTGTGAAGAACAAGGGAGGGCGCTTACTGTTTTACATTGGACTGGAAGCCTCTAGGTCTTCTGCTGACTCCATCTTACAAATTCCATGACTTGGAACATGCCATTTTACCACATGGCCTTAGTTTTCCTATAAATATTTCTGGGAATATTTTCTGCCTTTCCAGGCAGCAAAGATGCAGATAGAAATCTGCCCCAACAAGGGGTCAGTGCTGACAGTCCAATTTTGGGGGGCCTGAGTCACATCCCAGCTCTACCACTTGCTGACATGTATGACCTGAGGAAGATTAACTTCTTGGAGCCTCTGTTTCCTCATCTATAAAATGGGGATTGAACAGGTATGGTGGCTCATGCCTATAATCCCAATACTTTGGGAGGCTGAGGTGGAAGGATTTCTTAAGCTCAGGAGTTCTAGACCAGCCTAGACAACATAGCAAGACCTTGTCTCTACAAAAAGAAAATAAAAAATTAGCTGGGTGTGGTGGCACGTGCCTGTAGTCCCAGTTACTCAGGAGGCTGGGGTGGAAGGATTGCCTGAGCCCACAAAGTTGAGGCTGCAGTGAGCTGTGATGGTGCCACTGCACTCTAATCTGGGCACCAGAATGAGACCCTGATTCAAATAAAATAATGTGGGGATTTAATGATACCTACAGAAGTTTCTGTGTAGATAAATTGAGATGATTTATGTAAAATTTAACTGCTATAAGCAATATTAGCTATTTTTGTTATTTGTTCATAGTCAAACTTGTATCCAGCAAATTCCTGGGAAAAGACAACAAAGAGCTAAATTTTTCTTTTTTCTTTTTTTTATAGTTGGAGTCTCACTCTGTCACCCAGGCTGGAGTGCAGTGGCATGCTCATGGCCACTGCAGCCTCAACTTGCTGGGCTCAGATGATCCTGCCACTTCAGTCTTCCCAGTGGAAAGAGCTAAATCGAAAGGCCAAGGCCAAAAAATGCCAGGAGAAAACTGACCAAAGACTCCGAGATCTCTTCCACATTATTCATTCATTCAACAAATATTTACTGAGCACCCCTGGCATGAATATGTCTTAATAGTGTCAAGGAGAGAGCCGGGCTCGGTAGCTCAGCCTGAATCCCGTGCCTTTGGGAGGTTGAGTGGATTGCCTGAGCCCGCGGGTTCGAGACCCACCTGGGCAGCAAGACCTCATCTCTACAATAAATAAAAAAATCAGCCGGGCATGGTAGCACGCGCCTGTAATTCCGGCTACTCGGAAGGCGGAGGCGGAAGGATCGCCGGAGCCCAGCAGGTCGAGGCTGCGGTGGCCGGGAGCGGCCACTGCACTCCAGTCTGGGCGACAGAGTAAGACTCCAACTCAAAAAAAAAAAAAAATAGTGTCAAGGAGAAAGAAACTTTTTCTCTACTCTCTTATGTTCATGATTAGGGGCCTGTGAATTAAACTCAAACTGGCATATTAGCAAGGGGAAAAAACAGATTTTAATCACATACATATATGTGGGAGTTCACAAAGAACTGTGACTCAAAAGGGCAGTTTGAATTTGGGGCTTATATACTATTTTATTTTATTATTTTTATTTAATCTATTTTTTGTGAGCTAATAAAGGTAGATTTATTAAGGGAAAATACATCATGAAGGGCATAACAGGCAGGACAACAGCAAGAGTGTCTGCTGTCTGCTACCTACATATTATTTTAATAGGTGAAGAAGGAGAGGGAGAAGGGCACTTATGGGAAAACAAAGAACTTTTTGGAAAGATAAAATGCAGAACAGATTGGAAGCTATGATAGTGTTTTGTGGCAATGTCTGTTTAGGTGTGGTGTGGAGAATTATTGTGTCTGGTGATGAGTCCATCTTCCCTGGTTGTTCCAGGGTAGATGTTTTTACAACAATTTAATTCTTTGAGTACTTTTGGAAGGCTGTTTCATGAAAGAGTCATATATGCAAAGCAACCCCTGAAAGTAGAAGGAACCAAGAAACAAAGAAATGAGACAGTCAAATCCAATTTGTTGGTACAGGGGGATTTATTGGGGAACTTTTGAATAGAAGGTAGATCTTCACATTGTTAGCCCCCAAACCCAAGGGTTATATACCATAAGGAAAGGATACTCCAGCAGGGCAGTTAAAGGCAATCTTTAACTGAAGAGGCAAAAATGCTATATGCCTCATAGCCTACAACTGTGTGTGATAACATCAAGTTCCTACACTAGAGGTAGGAAATAAGCAGAAATCTAGAGGCATCCTGGAGACCAGGGTTAAGCAGACATCAACATGGTGGGCTAGCATTCAATGGAGGCACTTTTATCTGCACAGAAGCTCTGCATTTAACAGGTAAGAGATTTCAGGAACTCAAATGCCTTCAGCTCAGAATAATTTTTACGCCACAAT